TAAAAAATTTTGTCAAATATATTATGAGTGACTTATAATATTAAAATTAAGAGTGGCACGCAGCAAGTGCACAGTTTAATGCTCGTGGAGGTTTTAAAAAAGGGGCGAAAAGGGTCGGATCCCGCCTTAATTCATTATCATTGGACAGAAAGCTTATCCATTTCAACAACGTAAGCAGCAATCCAATCTAAGGCACTCTTTCGGTCTTTAATATGAAACCTAATTTTTGAGTTGATTTTGATTCTAAATATAAACTCATTCCTCATATTTATCAATTTTCTCTTAATTACCCTTATAGATACTCCCTCAACCATAATCAAGTAGAAGAGGGAGATGGGGTATTAAAAAAGATGATTATGGTGTTTTAAGAAAAATGTGTTACTTTTCTTATAATTAACTAACTTACGTAACTTTTTGAATCTAATCAAATTAGTTAAATGGGTCTTATATTAAAGATTGGAGGAGTACTTTTTGAAGGTTATCTTTTAACTACTACTACCTCCGGTCCTAATTATAAGACCCAGTTGATTAATTTGAGGAGATTAAAAAAAGAAGTTAAGTTAGTTATTTGTAATAAATAGGTGTTACCTTTCCTAAAATATCCTTACTAATCAACTATATTGGCTGGGACTACAATTATTAGAAGGACTATTTTGGAAAAAAATACATAAATATTAGAGACAAAGTGGATTGGGGTCTTATATTTAGGATCAAAATAAAAATCAAATAGAGTCTTATATTAAGGATTGGATATAGTATTATTATTATTTATTATTCTTCCCCTAAAAGAGCATGGAGATACTGAGTGGGTTAACGGCCCACGTTTGATTTAAAAATAGAAAATGCTTTTGAAATATAGCAGTTTAATTTTTTGCCAGATTTTGAAATGGTAGTTTCTTTGGGTGACAACTCGGCTACGGAGCCACGAAGCCAGTATAACGAATCTTTCTTTTTGGGACCAAATATGATGAATCTTGGGTCAAGAGAGAATTATCAATAGATATTGATATATTGTTCTCCAATTTCACTTTCCCCAGTTTTATCGACGGGAAATTTTGCGGAATAATAAATTAGTAGTTTTCCTTCTTTTTGAGAAAGGCACCAAAAAAGAGTGGAATGACAATTATCTCCTTGCCGAGAACTGGGGCAATTGATTAACATAATCAGCCCACAATGATCGGATCATCTTGGGCGAATATGAAATCTGTACACTGCGAACTATTCCTTTGATAAAGAAGGGTAAAGAGTGAGAGTTGGGAGAATTAGAAATGTTCAAAAATTTCCGTTGAGTTGTGAAGTCATGGTACGAAATTTAGTTGGGCAAATAATGGGGACGGAGATTCTTTAATTCATGAACAATAAGAACCGTGGCTTTTAGATTTTTTTTTTTTGCAAGGCACAGGTATTCTCTTCTGGAGACAATTCTGTTTGAAACATTATTAGGCACTAAATATAAACATGCTCCTAATGAAATTCAAACATTAATTTATCACATCATAAAAAACTAATCTCTTTCAGGACATGCCTCTAAACTTAGAGAGCACTTACAGATATATTTACAGATCACTCACCAATAAGGTCCTCACACGACAGCGGAATTTGAACTCATGACCTTGTGAGTTATGAGTTAATTCTTTACCAATTAGACCGACTCTTGTTAGCATGTAACTTTTTTTTTTTTGGCTAAAGTATAGATATTCTCCTATTAGAGACAGTCTTATTCGAGATACAGTTGAACACTAAATGTGAGCACCTTTTTTAGTGAGAATTTGAATATTATTTTGTCATATTGTGAGGGACAAGTTCCTTTCACTAGATCCAATACTATTGGCGGCATGTAGTTATTAGTTAATTGTAAGTTGATGAAATTTGCTCCAAAAAAAAAGTTGATTAAAAGCTTTGCAAGAGGTCCATGTTAACCCACGGTAAATCAGCCCACCATTTAAACCCATCTAACATCACTCATCGGCCCATTTTACCCAAGAAAACAAAAAATAATTTAAAAAGTCACGACACACGGGCTCAAATTCAATCCAGTGTTGTTGATCGAATTCCACAGTTTAAAGCTGCAGATTTTGTAACCAAAAAGAGCTCTGTAGATTTGATGGCCCAATGCCAGGTCGATGCTCCCCCATTTTGAATAGAAACTCGTATCACATAAGGTGGGCAATTTAACCCGGACCACATCTAACACCCCAATTTTTTTGGTAGTATAATTTTACCTGTAATTATTTTTGTATAATTTTACCAATAATTTTTCTTTTATTTTAGCGCAATCTTACCCATTACTAAACATATGCATGAGCACGTAATTGCACCACTAATTTTTTTTTTTGGCCAAAAAATTGCACCACTAATGACTCATTTAAAATAACTTATACATAGCTTTTCAATTATAATTTACAGAATACGAGATAAATATATGAAAGGAGTTTTGTTTCGGCTTATATAAAACGTACTTATAAGTAATTTCAATCGTAATGGCAAACAGGAGCTAAACAAACTGAGTTGTCAGGTGCATATGAAAAATAAGATTAGAAACAAGGTTTGCCTTATCATATGTTCAAAAGAGAAACATACAAGAACAAAAGAGGCCAATCATTTAAGTGGTTACATGTTTAATTCTCGACCATCTGCACGAAGCAAATTGAATCGGAATCCTCGTATCATACACTCGGTTGAGACTCTTGCAAAATGTCACAAATATTTCCCAGTTACTACCTCCGATTCTAATTATAAGAGCCAGTTGACTAATTTGAGAAGATTAAAAAAGTAAGTTGAGTTAGTTATTTGTCCTAAATAGGTGTTGTCTTTCCTAAAATATCCTTACTAATCAAGTTTATTGATTAGAACTATCATTGTTAGAAGGGTTACTTTGAAAAAAAATATAAATACGATAGACAAAATGGATTGGAGTCTTATATTTAGGACCAAAATAAAAGTCAAACATGGTCTTATATTAAAGACGGAGGTAGTTTTTTTTTTTTTAAAAAAAAGTACAATGACGTGAATATCCTTATAAAAAGAGAGAGCGAATTAGGGCTTAGTTGGCTTCTTGAACAATTTTTATTTTAAAAGAAACAAAAAAAAAAGTTGTTTGGTAACATGTTTTTAGTTACTCCCTCCATCCTTTTTTATAAAAAATAGCTGGGTCTAGCGGAAGGGGCTAGTCCCTTATAACGTGACGAACAAATGTTTGAATCCCCACTGATAGGATTGCCTCTAATAGAAGAATATCTATGCTTTAGCAAAAAAAAAACCATCTTTCTCTTGTCCCTAATTATAAACAACATTTGCAAGTCGTCTTAAATTTTTGTAGCAAATTTTCTATTTTACCCCTATTAATTACTTATTTTGATATTTAATATACTACCTTCGGCCCTTAATATAAGACCCTATTTAACTTTTATTTTGGTCCTAAATATAAGACCCCAATCCACTTTGTTTCTCATATTTATTCATTTTTTTTCAAGATAATCCTTCTAATAATAGTATTCCTAACCAATATACTTGATTAGCAAGGATATTTTAGGAAATACAACACATATTTATAACAAATAACTAATTTAACTTATTTTTTTAATCTACTCAAATTAGTTAACTAGTTCTTATATTTCGGACCAGAGATAGTATTTATTATCACATTTTTCAAACCATCATCTCTCTTCATCATACATTCTCTCTCTTTCATAATTTTTTCATTATAATAATTTTCTTATTCTAGTTCTTATACTTCCCCCCGTAAATAAAGATATTTTGGAGAAAGAATTTCTAATTTTTATCTATTTATTATTTTTAACTAACTTTTTAATCTACGTAATAGAGTCATATGTTGCTTATAAAAAGGGACGGAGGGAGTAGTTGTTTTAAAAAATAAAAAAAACAATTATATGTTTTTAAAAACTAAAAAACTAAAACAATTTTTAGATTTTTTTACTTTTGAATTTCTTTTTTTTTTGGTAAATTTGGGAAAAAAAATATTTCTCCTCTACTCGCTCGTCACCCTCCACGTGGTGCTGCTAGTAGGCGCCATCTCATTGCCGGCGATTGCCACTACCTATATCATGTGTCATCACCAACCGTCGGCGATAGCCACCTCCCATGTTTCCATTGGCAAGCAATTTGGCTATCAAAAATTCCATCTTTGATTTTCGTCTTGTGATAGGAATTAGTGATGGGATAGAATAGAATGATTTTGTCTTGTTCTTTTTGATCTAATCACATGGTATGCGGATAACATTTGATGAGATTTAACAATAATTAAATTATGACTTGTAGTGTTTCATTTAAAATTATTTATTTATTTAACTACAATATTTTGTAATTTTGCTTTTTTTTTAATGTGGATAACAAGTTTTACTTATTTTTGTTTCAAATATAATTTTTTCAAATAATTGTCCAAACATTTTTTTTTAATTCTCAAAATTGTTATAGAAAACAATTTTGTAGAATTATTTTGAATACAAGAAAACAGAAAAGCATAAACAAACCGGCTGTTTATTTTTCCAACCTCAAGAGATAATTAGTTTTGAACTAGAAACAGTAGGTATTTTTGTCCTTAACATTATTGTTTTAAAGGAAAGCGAGATTTCCTTAATTATCTTGATGGAATGCACCTTCAAATGTCTAACGGAAGTGAGCTTTCTAATGGTAACCAAGAGGGATTTTCTTTCCTCCTTTTCTTGAAAGTCTTCTCCATTTTACCAAACATGGCCTTGGGAAACTCGTTTTCTTCTTGATAAAAATCCATAGAAACGAGCGCCTGAAAACTTTATGATCACGGTGGAATAGTAAGGACAAAATGATAAATAGATTCAAGGCAAGATCAAAGACAGGTCTTCTCATGGAATCATCTTCTCCATACCCTAGCATTACCATAGAATTCCCAAAATGATTCAAAGAATGAGCAATGAAATTATCATCCACTTCTATAGTATGTTTCGACAGATAAATGAAAGTAATAAACCTGAGGGCACATGTAAAAGCAAAAAATGCACATAGAAGACAAGAGAGTCTTGAATCGACATCATCAAATAGGACTCTCCGAGGGAAATTAGATGAACTTGGAAAAATACTCAATACAGGTCTTGAAGGCACCCAGGATACTAGAAGAAGCATCCAGCGTAATTTTGCATCTCCGCAAGCAATTAGGTAATTGCCATCAGAGCCCTTCTTGTACAACTAACTTGGGCATGGGTATCTTAGCATTTACTAGCTCATTGGTAAGCCAGCATGCTTCATTTTGGTTTCCGACTTTACAAGCCAAGTAGCTTTCAAGATAAGGTTGAATTGAGCGCAACAAAAAGACCTCAATCTCCATTTATAAATAATCCATTACAGAAACATCAAGAGATGTATAGTTCCATCACCAGAAATGTTGAAAGAGAACTTAAGGATGACAATCGTTTAGTTACACGGCAGAGGCTTGCTTCGCTTGGTTTTTTGAAATGTTCTTTTGGCCAATAAACCTAAACTTGAAGATGTCCTCTATTAACATGGCTAGTATGGAAGAGTTGATTAAGATGCTTCAGTTAACTCTGGAGCTTTGCTAGTTAGCCATGTTATCCACCAAGTATGGATTTCCAGAAAATAAGGATTTCCAGAAAATAACACGCGGCAGCAATCATCTCTTAGTGCGATCTTTGGAAACTTCTCTAGCTTCGTTAAGAAGTGCAGTATAAGAAGCATAATCTGTAATAAGTCCTTTCTCACCTCTAAATAGCTCAATTTCTTCAGAACTGCCATGCTTGCAATGTCCATCTAGCAAAATGTTAAATGTAATATCATCTGGAACTACCCCCACATTAAGCATTGCGTCCAACAGCATTTTAGCATTTTTCATTTGACCTTGCTTGCAGAGTCCATTCATAAGCACATTATATGTCACAACTCCTGGAACATGTCCATCCCTTTGCATTTCCTTGAGTAGCTTAAATCCCATCTTAGTGTCACCCTTCTTACAAAAACCATCAATCACCATAGTGAATGTGGCGTCATCAGGTTTGAAACCAGAATTTATCATCTCCCTCAACATTTTTTCCGCTTCATGAACTCTTCCATCTTTACAGAGTCCAGAGATAAGCACAGAGAAAGCTACGTCATCAAGTTTGATCCCTTCCTCAATCATTCTCTGCTTGATCTCCAAGGCCAGCCCAAGATCTCCATCCTTACAGAATCCATCTATTAGCGTGGTGAAAGTGATCTTGTCAGGCTTCAATTCATTTGCTCTCATCTCATCTAGAAGCTTCCTAGCCTCTTTTAAATCTCCAACCCTGCAAAGGCCATTGATCAGTGCATTGTATGTGACTAAGTCAGGTTTGATGCCCTTAGCTAGCATTAGCTGAAAATTTTTAATGGCTAAATCAACTTTCCCGTCTTTGCACTGCCCATCAATTAAAGTGGTGAAAGTAACATAATTTGGAACCAAGCCTCGCTTGAACATTTCATCAAACAGATTATTTGCCTCATCTAACCTGCACTGTTTACACAGCCCATTGATCAAAGAACTGAAAGTGAAAACATCTGGACAAATTTTTTCATTTTCCATGACACTCTTCAACCTAAACCCCTCACTGAGGTTTCCTGATTTACAATACCCATTGATCAAGGTGTTAAAACTAACAACCGTAGGACGCAAACGTCTCTTCCCCATTTCATCAAATACCAACTGGGCACTTCTGATATTACCTTCCTTACAAAATCTATGCATCAAAATATTGAAGTTATAAGCTCTCGGAGGATACCCAGAATCCAAAATTTCCAAATAGAATGCCCAGGCAGATTCGGCTGATTTCAACTTCATCGTCTTATCAAGCAGATCACCACAAGAACGAAGTGGGACTTGAAGACTATTTGTCCTACCCAACCGAAAACATTGAATGGCATCCGCAACAAATCCAGAATCCATATAAGCATGAATCAAAACATCAAATACAATATTGGATTGGTGGGTACCTCTTGTTTGAAGAACAGACGCAAACAATAAAGAAGCAGAGTCCTTGCCTTTCCAAGACACTATGAATTTCATGAGGGATAGAGCTTCAGGGAGCATCCGGTGAATGCAGAGGAAGTGAGCCATAGTGCAGTAGGATTGAATAGTGTGGCGAAATGGGGGGCGAGAAGCGAGCCAACTGAAGAAAGAGAAGAGGGAAGAAGGGGAAAGAGAGTGAGGGTTGAAGTTAATGAGATTGATGACATGGTGAGCTCTGAGTGAAGGGAGGATCCTTCGAAGAGACGAATCCAGCGCCTGTGTTTCGGAATTGTTGATAGCTTCAGAGATGGTTGAGAGAATGTCATTGTCGTCTTTGCGGAGACAGCGCAGTGGAGTATACCTGGGATTGGACGAAAGGGAGCTGTAAGAGGACGATGACCATAATAGGTTGAAAGATTGAGACAAAAAGTCACAGTTTTTCCAACTTCTCTGAATGAGGATGATCATATCTTCGGTTTCAGCTAGTTGTGCATCACATCATAGCATTTAAATTCCAACATTTTTGGATGTTCCCCAAGCCACAGCTCTCCATTTGTTCATCACGAATCACTTCAGAGTTCAGGCTTTGGCCCAAAGAAAAAATGAAGTCCCGAACCACTTCGGAGTTCAGGGAAGCTATGTAGTAGCTTACAATATTTTTAAAAGTCCAGGGAAGCGTCCAACCCAAAAGTCCAAAACCACAGTGCGCCATCTCAACCGTGGAATCAGGTCCCCAAAAAAAAAAACCTCAACTGTGGAATACTGGAATCCATCTTGGGACGTAAATTGTGATTATTGAGGAAAAATTAAAATTTTAGCGTGAGTGTGAACTCGAGAAAGGTCCGTCTAAGAAGCCAATAACATAAAAGAAGAGGGTAAAACATAATTAATTAATTAATGGACCTTTTGGTAATTCGCCTATGTACATTTAAAAACAAGCTCATACCTGTAATGAAAGTAAAAAGCCCTTCGAGAAGTCAATAGTCTTTCTCATTTATTGGTTGTTTCCGTTTTTTGAGTTACTGTAATTATTTATTACTCTCCCATTTGTGCGTAAAAGTCGATCGTTGGTTAATTCGCATAGTATTACTGCTTAAGTATTTAAATTCTCTCTCTTATATTTTATGTCAGTTTTGTTGGGAAAGTGCTTTCTTTATCATTTTTATCATATGTTTATTTCTTTGTCTCTCTTTTTATCTAAATTCACTACCCCTGTTGAAGTTCATTCATTTGGTTGAATTTTGGGTGTTGGTCTAAGCTGAATTTGGCAAGAATATTATTCTTGTAAAGAGTAACACTATTGGGCTAATTAAGTTTCCCATTTTAAGTTTAGGATTTTGACTTTTGTTGAGGACACGAACTTAATTTGCATTATTTACAGTAAGTGGTGATGACATGGGGAGATTCATTCGTCTCATTTGTAGGAAGTGGCAATAATGTTGTATTGCATTATTTAATTGCTCTTTACTTACCAAGCTTCTTATATGACTAAAGCCACAACTGGAATTGTATGAATTTTAAATTGTGTTGGTGTGGCAGTAAGTGGAACATGCCTTGCACTTTTTTGTAATTATAGTTTTGTTCTACATACCAATTAATGCATTTCGTTTTTGTTTAACAAATTGATCTCATTCTCTTGTATCTATTAGCTAGGCTACTTCTTTCCAATATATTAAGATTAAGAGCCCTTTTGTAGGCTATTGACTTATATTTGATTGTCTTGGATGAATGAATTTAATAGTGACGGAACATATTAGAGTGCCTTTCCTGAGTTAAAATAATGTGCTGTAAGCTTTTTATTACCTAATCCATCTTGTCAAAAACCTTATAAAAAATTAAAGTTAATATAGCCTTAACCTATAAGCCATCAATTGGTTGTTTCTGTTTTTTGAGTTAGTAGTTCTATCTATCCACTTATGATGTTCTTGATTAACTTGTCATCTTAAGTGCTTACTTATTAGTTTATTATTCACTACTACTATTTAAATACTTGACGGTTATAAACCATCAAATATGAAGATGTCAAATACTTGACATCTTAAAAAAATATTTGACTTAAAATATTTGACGGTTTTAACATAAAACTGTCAAATATTATGAGTATATTTGTAGTCTCTGTGTATTATTTATTTGATGGTTATTGGTCATAATTATAAAGTATTGTAAATACTTGACGGTTATTAATTATAACCATCAAATATTTCCAAAATACTTGATGGTTATGACTAATAACCATTAAGTATTATAGATTTTTTTTTTTAATGAGGTGGCTGTTTTTCTACCAACCTCCTTGCATTCTGAAAAGAAAAGGCAATAACAGAGTCAAAAACACACATGTATTTATATATATATATATATATATATATCAATTTAGACAGTAAATTAGAAATAAAATTTACATTATATTTTAAGAATATATTGATTTTAGCTTAAATTTGTGTCTAACATGGGTTGTGGGCTTGTGCGGCTGCAATGAATTTCTTCAGGTTTTTATAGCTCATCATCTTTACAGTATTATCTACGTGACATATTTTCTACTTGACAATATTATCACTTCGTTAATTACTTTTTATCATGGATCCGTGACCTATAAAAAGGACTTGAGGGTAAAGTTCAGAATATACCCGCTTTAAACTTTCAAGCTATTCTCTCATAATAGGGTTGCTTATTTTAGTTAAAAGTATTAGTTGACGATAAGGTGGTTGGCCAACGGATGCTTCTTAATTAAAATTAACATGATATTGATATCCACATTAAGCATTCTTTGCATTGAAAATCAAAGTGTTGATTAGCGGAAACTTTTTAAAGCTACCTCTTCTTGTATATGAAAATCCAATTCAATTTAGGTGAAGTGTATCAGTAGCATCCTTGTCAAATGCTACACACACATATATGCAGTTAACAGGTGTAAATTTCACCCGGATCAATCACACTCAATTTCAGATGATATATATCGAGTTCAACAATCTCAAATGGACAGAAAAGAAATTATTGAATGTAACAGTCTAACTGAAACCCAACAACCTGAATTGATGACGATGATAATGTGTTTGTGGGTTTACTTCACGCACGTCACTGCATTGAGTTGAGGGGACAAAACACCTGACACATACATGGACACTATAATGAATTCGATCATACGTACATTTAATTCATGAAATGCCTCAGATCCAATACTTCTGCAGTCCCGATGATCTCTCTACGTGATTGCAAGAGTTTCATTCTTTTGCATGAGCGGCTCCAGAAGGGCCCAACACGTCAACTTGTCATCCAGCAAATTAAGCACATTATTTAATTAAAAAGCGTGTTTAGTTTTATACTGATTATTAAAATTATATGTAGTTTTAATTTAAATTAATTATCTGTTTGCACCAAAAATCACTATTTTTAATAATTTTTAATGTGAAAGCAAACATATACATTGAACATTTTATCATATCAATTTGTTTTGAGGAACAAACGACATTGAAAGATCTCGAAAGGAACAGGAACTCACTCTAGACCAGAAATCTGCAAATGCACAATGGAGAACTTAGGTTCTTAGTGTGGTTTGAGTTTGAGTTAAAAAATTGTCGAATATCAATTATAAATTGCCGAATATCATTTGTAAATAAAAACAAAAACCTAGTTTATAGTTTCTGATGAGATTGAGTTGTAAGTAATTCCCAAATATTAGTTGCAAATTGGCAAAAATAATAAAAATTGTTGAAAATGAATTATAAGTAGGGACCCAGCTTTCACATTATATATGGTACTGGATTTTTGGAGGTGATGGAAAGGTGAGTTTCTTTTAAAATTTTTTAAACTCTTATCTCCTGGTTTGGTTAACAAGTGTTTAGCTCAAAAAGTAGAGACTTTTTTGGAGGGAGAGATCCTAAATTGGAACATTTTTAAATAATAATACCATTCTTATAATGATATTAAATTTTTAAGTTGGTCTAAAAATCCCTCCCATCCAATCACCTCCTATAACAAAATTACTAATGCCAAACACTATATCAAACCCATCACATGAAGGCCAAAAACAAACAAACAAACAAAGACGGAAGAATATGCATCATGACAGAACTGAAAACACTAGCCAAACTCTCCACCTTTACTTCTTCTTTGGTGTTAGACCTTTCTTCATGGACCAGTGGTCTCATCGTAAGCCACATTACGCGGTCCTGGAATAACAAAACATAACATGCGACAACTAAAAAATGGATTTTTCAGAATTATTATTGGAAAGCACAATATCGTTAAGCATTCATATTCACGGCTTCACTCATATTCTATATCCCTTTTGTATCATGTCTTATTCAATTTTTTCTGGGTCAAGGGTTTCCCAACAATCAACTTCCATTACTACTACTACTACAGTCATAATAAAAATCTTCAAAACCAGTCCACCACAAAGATCAAAATTATACTCTCTAAAAGGACACGTATAATCCTCCGGCAAGAAGAGGGAATGATGCTGTTTATTTTACTTCAATTCCCATGGAGAGTGGAGATACAGATAAATACAAATATATATATATATATATATATATTTCCGACTAAGCAAAAGGCAGTTTTCCAAGGAATTTTTCGGGAAGAGTGGGGATTTCTTTAGAAACCGAAAAAAGAGAGGGAATTGAAATGAAATTTTTATTGACGTGTAACATAATCTAGAAATATTCTCAGATTAGAAGTTCAAATGTTGGTGTACCGTAGACAACAAGTTTTTTCACACAACACGGCGGTGACCATTATTAGCCTTTGGAATTGAACGCCTAGTTGCAGGAACACAATTTGCTGATAGCCGAAGCTGATTCTCCTTACGGTCTCTTGTTGCATCCACCACGTCTTCTTTCCTTGTGCCGCATATCACCCTAACTCTTCGCCTTTCCCATATCCCATTTCCCACCCTCTTCTTCTTCTTCTTCTTCTTCTTCTTATTCTTCATCCTTTGACCGCCATTATCATCCAAGCATGCATTTGCAGAACCAAAACCATTCTCAAGTTTGCCATCACTAGATTCTGCGACGAGACGATCCAGTCTCGTTAAAATACTACGTACTTCATACGCATCAAGAAGGGGTAACTTCTTGCCGTGCTGAACTTGGCACGATCCTTGTTCCTCCTTGGTTTCCGGGGAACAAGATGAAGCCATTCTCAGTGCTTCTAACTTGTAACGAGAAGGCTTGTAATCATGTTGAGCTCTCGTAATATGAAACTCTCTTATAGTCTTTCCTTCAGACCCTGAACCATGTTGGTGCCATGCCCATGCAGCCGCCTTCTCAAGGGCCAAAACATCAGTCCTTTGGTGATCCTTAGGCTTGATTCTATTTCTCAGGAGCTTGGAAGCCATGAAAGTAGGGGAGTTGGTAACGGTGAGGCGAAGGGAGGAGGAGGAAGAAGAGGAGTTTGTGGGAAAGCCAAGCTCCACGCAATTGCAATATAGAACTAAGAAAAGTAGAAGTTTGGTCCAACAGTTATATTTCATTTG